TTTCCAAAAATGTCTTCCTGTGCATCCATTAAAATGAAATACTGTGAATCTGAAGTGATCTGGGCTTGTTTTAAGTTGTCTTCTCCACAATTAATAATAATAAACCTCTTTGTTGTCATAAATGATTGTCAATTAAAAGTGGAGGGAACATTTTATGGTTTAGCATGGCATTTATTTTATCACACTATTTAATGTTTATAGTGCAATAGTTGGATTCTCCTCAAATCTAATGATAAATCCATCTTAATTCATGGCCTTATGAGCGTCTAACTAATGGTGCAAAGAGGAATCCATAAGAATTTTTAAGAGCAGATCTTTGTGCCTGCTGTGAATTTAAAGATTCACTTTTTTGCAGATTCTCTTTTTATATCTGTAACTTGTAGATGTCAGCAATGTCTCAGTTCAGCACCCAGGGTCAGAAAGATAAGATGAGACAGCAGCTAAGAGGAACTGGTAAAACGCAGCATCCAGTCTGTATGGTAGGATGTGAGAGGGGCTGGGCAGCTCCCCTGATTACAAATCCAGCTGCATCCATCCATCCATCCATCCATCCATCAGGAACAACACGCTTGCAGGTGTCCTGCACATCAGCGTCGGAAAGGAAACGCACCGGCTTGCACATCTCACTGGATTTGGGCCTCTGAGCAGAAGTGTCACAGGATGATTGTTATTTATTACAGCTGGGAGTGAGAGTGGATAACAGTCTTCGGATCTGCAGCCTGGCAACCGGCCTTTTTCCTACCAAACTGCATGGTCTCCTCGTGGCATTTGGGCAGTCCATGATCTGCAGATGCCAAAAACAAGCACTAAGTTATTTAGTGAGCCGTCTGGGTTACAGGGCTGAGCGCAGAGTCAGGGCAAAGCTAGAGACCACAGTGTTTGGAAATGGTTTTCTGCTGATTTCCTTGCCCCATTATTGTATTCATCAGGACTACATACAATGATATCCTTTCTCCACTTCCCTAAACTTTAATTTTTCATACGGTTGACAGGATCCTGGCTAATGTCTTTGTTTTCAGCACCAGGGAATAGCTGTGGCTGACTTCATTGTTGAAGTAAATACACAACAAATCAACACTCGGTGTCCAATACAGTTTTAGGATAAAAAATGGCATAAATTTAATGACATCTGCTTACAGCAGGGTCACATCTAGGACCCGGTTAATGAATCTGGACACTTAGTATGTGGAAATAACCTTGGCATGCAGAATGCACACAGCTGAAACATGATTTATTGACACTACACCATCATGTGACAAGTCCTGTACTAGTGCTTATATTATAATATGAAATGCATGCACAAATACTAAAATGTCACTAAGCTGACGCAAAGGGGATTCAGAAGAGAGGTCATGTGGGTTACGGGAGTCAAGGACCTCAAACAAAACAGATGCACGTCTTGCTTTTTCTGAGTTCTCCTGTTTCTGATGCAGCAGCCTGCAAAAATAAAGCCATTCTGCCTAAGAGATTGCATTTTCTTTCTAGTCATCAAAGATTCTTCTTCTAGAAAGCACAGTCATGTACTCCAGCTTGATTTTCTTAACCAGAACTGCATTAAGAAAAGGTTAATACACTGTTAAGTAGAGTCAATGAAGTTCTGATTAACAGCTGATTTTGCTATGCTTTAAGTACCTTCATCCCTCATGGCAGCAGTGGTTCACAGCAGTGTGATGTGTCACAGCAGGTGATCTAAGTAAAACTCCAAGCTGCAAAGCAAATAGGAAAAATGAGTTGAAACCAAAACTCCTCAAGAGAAAAAGGTGGTGTGCCAAAATATATGAGACTCCCAAATCTTCCCTGGATGCATGAAACCTTCAACAGAGACACTTCTTTTTCCTTTGTGAGTCATCTGAAATGGTTTCTGCTGAAAGGATAATGAAAGTTCAGTTACATGAAGAGATTCTTCACTGCTGTCTCTTTAAATGTCCTGTGCCGGGGCCGCTGGAAGGTGCTTGTCTTGGCAGGATGCTCTGGGAACTGGGAAATGTTCCTCATTGCTGCACAAAGCCAAAAGCAGCAATAAAACCTATGTCCTGTGAAAGGCCACCAGAATGCCAAGCTGCTCCAACACTGAATGAAAGGCAGCCCCTTGTCCAGACGTGCAGATTTCCCCGTGCACCTACCCACTGCATTAGGCAGGGATGCAGGAAAGGTACCAACAAGTGAGGCTGATGCCAGCCTGGGTTGCTAGTAAGAGAGGAAGAATTTCAAATGAGTGAAAATATCCTTGAATATAAATTAATTGTGTAGTTAAAACTTCCTGTGCAAGGGAAAGGATGTCTGCTATCTCACACAGATGACTACTGGAATTAATATTTCTTCTTTTTCTCGGTTGTTGCATGGCAGAGAATGAATTACTTCTGATCTCCTTTGCATTTCCAAAGAAGGGTGGGGAAACAGTTGAACAGTTCAGTCATATATTTTCCTGAGAGAGTTAAGATTGCAAAGTGACTGGATAGGGAAGCAGCATTCAGAAAAAAAATATGTAACTACTTGAGTAATAAAACTTGAATAAGTCCTTCAAATACGCAAATGAACATATAGCTACCACTGAACTGGGCCATTAACTGTGAAATCTGAGCAGTGAACAGTCAGAATTCATGGAAGAGCAGCTTTTAGTGTCAAGAATTATTACTCAGTTTTGGAAAGAGAAAGAAATACAAGGTTTGATTTCCTGTAATGAAAGAGAGATATAGAGAATAGCTGCAGCTTAAAGAGCTAGTACAGCCAGGGCGCATTTTAAAATCAATTTGCAAACATTTGTACTGTAAAATCTTTTCCACTGTAAAAACACGAGGAGTTTCCTCTCGTATTATGTACTTCTCTCCCTTCCTTCTGAATCGCAAAGGTCATTGGCATAGCAACAAAATCTTCATTTCTCAAGAGTCCATCTGCTGCCGGTACACACGCCTCATCTGAACTCACATCATTCTTTTTTGATGACATCCCACTTGGCTGTTGATGCTCCGTCGTCACAAGCAGAGAATCACAATTTCAGGTGAAGAATTAGCAGAAGCAGAAGCAGATGGACTTAACAATGAACAAACTACTCTCTGGAACAGATATCAGGAGGAAAGAAATACAGGAGGAAAAACCTGCCAGAAAATTATTTTTTTCCTGTAAATCTACCTTCACAAACTCCTCTAAAATACTGACTACTGACAAAAATATCTTTTTTTTTGTAATCCGATTCACAAAGCAGACTTGTACTTCACTAAAATATCCTGTACACTAATTCTCTCATTTCAAATTGACTATAATGATCTCTTAGATACTGACTATAGTTCAGCATTATTCTTGTCAAAAATATTGCTCAAGAACTATCATCCCATGAAGTATGACGGTTGTTTCTAGATTGTTTTAATAACTAGCATTAACTGTCTGGTTTTACTAATAACTCATCATGAATCAACCTCCACAGTATTCTGGAGGCTGCAGCAAATGATCATTAATCTGTTTGGTGGATACCAGAATAAGTATCATGCAAGAATGAAAAATGAATGCATTTTGTGTAACATCTGCAACCACAATTACTACATCAACTTTGAAGGCAATCTACACATCAACAACAGGTAGCAAAGTGCCTGCTCGTGTGAAGATTCTTCCACGGGGAAGGGTCAAGAAAATTTCAGGAGCGTATCGGGGTTGTTGGATTCACACTGTTAGAAGCACCATCTGTGTGTGCCTTGGCCAGCTCACACTGTTAGAAGCACCATCTGTGTGGGCCTTGGCCTGGAGCTGTCCCCTCGTGACCGTGGTGCTCTCAGCAGTGCTGCCGTCCTGCAGGATCACACGAGGGTTTGTGCTGTGCATCGTGGCACGGGGTCAGGTCTCCACCTCGCTGTGAGCAGACGACAGCGCCAGGCTCGTTAGTAGAAGGTTGTAATGGGGCTCATTAGTAGGTTATAACGGGGACTACCAGATTGGAGCGGCAGGAGCAGGGAAACAGGCAAGCAGCTCTGCGTTTCACTGCTCCTGAATGCTGCTTTCTAGGGGTGCTGCATTTTGAAGTGAAACCTGCAGGGACCTGCAGGACTTTAATCCGCATGAAGGATGAACACATCCAATGCCAGAACAGGATGGAAACCTCTATTTTGGGTTTGTTTGGGCTGAGAGAGGATCCTCAAACTGGGGGTGTCTTTTAGTTACATCCATATGATTTTAAATACTTTTAAAATACCAGAAGCTTTTTAGATAAGTTTTCCTATACTTCTGAGTGATGGATAGAGTCCAAACTGCTGGGAAAGGGAACCAGACCTCTGTGCATCACTGGAGCTGACCCTCACCAGCTGCTACGTGCTCAAATACCACTTGCAGACCAACCTCTTGAAACCAGGGCAGCTCTAGGGCCTGCAGACTCCCTCCTCACCTTCAGCAACTCTATCTCCACCTGGTCACGAACTAGGTCAGGGTGCTGCCGCCTCTCCCGACACTGCAGGTTGTCGGTGGCGATGGCGTAGGGCACCTCGGTGGCATCGAGGGCCCTTTCC